ATTTGCAGGCCTTTAAGTTGGGAGGTCTAGGGATTAGGAGATTGGCCCCTTTCAATAGGGCACTCCTAGGTAAGTGATTATGGAGATTCAGCAGTGACTGACATAGATTATGGAGGAAGGTTGTTTCATGTCGGTTTGGGAAGGAGAGAGGGGGATGGTCAACTAGGCCGGTCAGATCTGTTGTCGGTGTGAGGGTGTGGAATTCCATTGGGAAGGGTTGGAATGAGTTCTCTAAGCATATTAGATTTAGATTTCGGGAAAGAAGGAACGTCCGGTTTTAGGAAGATTCTTGGTGCGAGGACCGCCCATTGTCTTGTTTGTTCCCAAGGTTGTTCAGGATTGTTGTTGATAGACATGCTTTGGTTGTTGACTGCTATCGTCTTGATAGCGGTATGGTGTCTTGGGATGTGCAATTCCAGTGATCCTTTTAGGATTGGGAGTTGGATGACATCACTGGCTTGCTGGACCTTTTGTATAAACAGGAGGTAGATGGAACTGGTTCGGATTCCTTGACTTGGGTGCTTTCTTCGCAGGGGACTTTTCAGGTCCGGTCCTTTTTCTGCCTTTCCGGGTTTCACGGTACCACTTTCCAGTGAAAAACGGTTTGGCATTTGAAGGCTCCTCTTAGGGTGGCCTTTTTTGTGTGGACTGCTGTTTGGGGTAAAATCTTGACTCTGGACAATTTGAGGAAGAGAAGATAAGTCATTATCAACCAGTGTTGTCTGTGTATGAATGATGGAGAGTCTGTGGATCACATTCTCTTGCATTGTCCCGTGGCTCATGACTGCTAGAGCCTTATTTTGGGTCTTTTTGGCGTCCAGTGGGTTATGCCCCGGACCTCAAGGGACTTGATTGATATTTGGAGGGGCCAAAGGGTGGGAGCCCATGATCGCGATTTTTGGAGGGTGACCCCCCTCTATGTTTGGTGGAGTCTTTGGAAAGAGCAAAATAGAAGATCTTTTGATGGGAAGGAAATCTCTATTGGGGTGTTGAAGTTTTCTATTATTTGTTCTCTCTTTAGTTGGGATATGGGGAAAGATTGTATATCTTTCGATGAGATCATAGACTTTTTGGGGTCTTTAGGTCCTTAAGACTTCCCCTTTTCCTTTTTTTGGTTTTTTTGTACAGCTCTTGGGACGCGTTCCCCTCTTGAACGCTTTCTAATACATTTTTACTGATCAAAAAAAAAAAAAAAATGAACCTTCATAAGGTGTAAGAAAAATTAAAATCAATGGAACCCCTTTGAATTCCATAGTCACTAAAACCAAGGAGGTTAAGAATGCATTATATCCCACCCTTCCTCATCCTATTTTGGTTGTCCCCCAAAATAATAACATTCCTTTCAATCCAAAAAACCCAAATCAACGCCAGACCGACCCCCACTCCAAGGAACTTTTGGCCCATTATCATTAAGAAAGCCACTTGAAGCAATCATGCACAAAAATTCAACTTCTCTAGGAGCAACCCAAGTAACCTTGTTAGAAGGAAGTTTTAGCTAGGGGTAGCAACACTTGACACGACATGCTAACATGACAGTGCACTATAGGTGATAAGTGGGTTTGGGTTTGGGCTTGGGTTTGGCTTAATTGTGTTTGAGTTGTAATCATGTCGACCCAAATTGACATGCTAATTTATCGTGTCATATTTGTATTTGACATGCCAACCCATTTAAATAAATGTGTCGGGTCAACACGAATACAACCCATCTCGTTTACTAAACATTAAAACATACTTAAAATGTAATATCCTAAGAATATATGGCCAGATTTATCAATTCATGTTTTGTCGCATTGTGTTAAGTCTTGATCCATTTATTAAACAGAATTTGCAAGTCGTGTCATATTACTAGTTTAATAATTGTGTCAAAGTTCCTTGACACAAATAATAATCGCCCGTATAACAGGATACTTATGTCATGGCACAACACAAATACGACAAGGAAACACGAATTGTCATCCCTAGTTTTAATCATAGAGCAGTGGAAAAGGTGCAACAAATGAAGAGATGGTTAGAATTTCAGTTGGCTACATAGAGAATAAGGAGCAAAGCCATTTTGGTTGAATTTAAGGAGCAAATTCCTTCTCACAGAGTTGCAAAAGGAGACAAGAAGTGAAGTTCTAGAATAACGTATTCTTAATATATATATATATATTTGGATAATTTTTATTCTTAATATATTAGTGGATGGTCACAAGGAATCAAGGATTGGGATTTCCACCAATATATGATCAACCAACCTGATGATCTTCAATTTTTATTAAGAAGGTACCAAAAAGTATCTATCGTTTAACAAAGGCGCAACTTGGTCAATGGAAACAAATTCCAAGGCCCAAAGAGAAACCGACCAGCTTAGGTTGGTTTGGCTAGTTCCCTGACATGTCTTGGGGCAAAGTGGAAGCATAACAACAAAGACAATCACAAAAACTCTTAGAGATATTATCATATTACAAAAATATAGAATTTCCAACACCGAACCATCTACACAAACTCTTACCCTAGATTTTTTCTCGTGTACTCCACCAGACTCCCTCCGTCATCAGTGTTCACTCTACCAAACCCATACTTTCACCTCTACCCATCAACTCCATCATGAGGCCACTTTCCAATTATGGCTCCATGTCTCTCAACTCATAACTCTCAATCCTTAGCCTAAGTATATTTATAAAGTCTAAAACTCAATTCCTTACTAGACAAGGATTACAATTCGTTGGAGCCCAGGTATTGTCTAACAAGAAATTACCTAATACAATAACTCTAAAATAGAAACCAAATTAAACTAGAACTTAAGACATAATTCCTAACAATCTTCACCTTCGCTCAAATTCCATCATGTCAATCATCGCTTCACACAGCATTGATTCGAACAATTCTTTGCAGCTTCAATCTGACGATCCTCCTGCAAAACTCTGTTTGCCCCACTATATGTTGCTCGACCAGTTAAACCTCCAAGGCTCCACCTTGACTACTAGTGCTCTATGCCATGTGACATCAAGATTTTCTAACTATTGTGATTAAACAAGCCAATTGACTGACTCCACCTACAACACCACCTGAGACTTGGATCTTCGTCAAATAAAACACCGAACTTCCCATCACAAACCGTTGGCTCTAATACCACTTGTTAAGGGCACAGCGAAAGCAAACAACAAGCAAAGCAAATAAAGCAATCACACAAAACACAAGATATATGTTGTTCGCCCAAATTTGGGCCACGTACACAGATGACAAGAGATTCACTTTAATTATGTAGAGATATTACACGAGAATTTCCAACACCAGACTATGTAAACAAACTCTTACCTTAGAGTTCTTCTCTATGTATTTCACGAGACTCCTCCTCACCATCAGTGTTCACTCTACCAAACCCGTATCCCACCTTTACCCATAAACTCCCTTATGAGGCCGCTTTCCAATTACGGCTATATGGTATCTATTTATAGAGAGTAAAACCCAGTTCCTTGCTGAACAAGGATTACAATTCGTTAGAGCCGAAGTCTTGTCTGACAAGAAATTACCTATTACAATAACTCTAAAATAGAAACCCAATTAGCCCAAAATTTGAGACACAATTCCTAACAACATGCACAATTCTTTCCTAGGCTAAAATAATGGAGGCTCAAATCAAATAAGTTCAGTTGTGGTCAATAGCTCAGTTTCACCAAGACCACTTGAAACCCAGTGTATCATTCTGGTTCAAGTAGTGCTAGGACTTGTTCTTAGATCCAGAGAATGCAAGAAGCCTTTAACTGTGTGGGATTGTGGTAGAGAACAGTGGCAGCAGCATTTTAAAATGTATAAAAGGAGTGGGAAATAGGATTCTAGAGCTCAAGCCTTGATTTGGCACATGTTAGGTGTAGTGGGGTCCACTTGCAGTCTTGCATAATTGGGGGGATTGGGTCAAATTGCATAGTTTTGGTAAATTGCATCAATTATGGTGAAATTGCATTATTGTGGTAAATTGCATCTATTAAGTTATTTGTTACTTTTATTATGCTAGAGTCAACTTTTGATTAACTCAATTATAGGGTAATCCAAGGGTCATCAGTTGTTATAAAAATGATACTATGTAACTCTGATTACGCAGCCAATGAATGAATAAAAAATATCTTTTGAGGTTTCTTTGTGAGTGATTCACAAATTCTGAGGGTGTGAGGCCTTCTCTATGTGTGATACCTAGGTCACGTTGGTGTGATTCCAATTGGTAGCTCTATTCTTTTCCTTTTCAGCCTCTGAACTTGTCCTACATCAGATTGCTCTAACAGAGAGAATCCAGAAATACTCACTTACAGAATATTTAAGTAAAAGAGAATTTTGCATCAGCTGCAAGTCAACAATTTTCATCAGGAGCACCAATCAAGGTACAGACTAACTCCACTTCTTGACATCAAGAGAAGTGACAGGCTTACAGCTAAGCAGACTAGGCAATTGAAAGTTACAATGGCGAAAGCTAGGGTTGTCATGCATGAGAAAGCAGAGTCAAATTACAGGCCAATCGTTTTTTACAAATAATGCTAAAAGTGAATTTGTCCCCAGTCTACACCTCACAGCACCAGCATTGGTGGGACCAGCACCGTGTTGCCTTTCTAAAATGTAACTATTGTACAACTAGTTTATAAGAATGAGATAAAAAGAGTAATAGGAATCAAAGGATCAGATCGTACGATTGTTGAAACAATTTAGACAAGCAAATTATACTAATAAATTATTAACTTCCAAACAGTTAAAACCCAAATAAAACAACTATCAGAAACGTTATTGCTACACATTAATATGATATAATGATCAATAACCAGATGCAATATCAATTAATAAAGCCAGAGCAAGCACAACGACAAGCAAAAGAAGAGCTAAGTTTTACATTCCCCAGAAGAGGGGGTAAATATATATACAATTTTTTTTTTTTTTTTGATAAGTAGAGGGGGAATATATATATATATATAGAAGAAGACGACTTGAGTTCTACATTGATGAAACTGCATATTTAACTTCATTTAGTTTACCTTTTATACCGATAGTACTCCTCTCTGGCTCTTCTAAGATGACGCCTGAGTGTTGCCATTGATTTCTCATCAGTATCATAGTCCATATCATTTTCCCCTAATCGCCCCCCTTGTGGTTTGAAAGATGGGTCTTCCCTAAACTAGGAAATAGAAAATTGAACTTAAAATATGCAGTAAAAAACCTAAATGAAGTTCTTTCAGCTTATAAATACAAGAAGCGGATATACCATTTTAACTAACATATTATCAATAACATCCATGTAGGGTCTTAAAGGATCACGCTTGGATATCTGTTTGGATGTTGCCTGTGCGACCTGATATACCATACCATGGTTGAATTTTGGTTAAATAAGAAAAACCGAAGCAAACAGTTAATCAAACACGATTAATATTGAGGAGCTTAGCTTAAAACTACTAAGAGAAAATAATCAAACACGCCAGAGAATATAGAGTTGGGCATCAAATAAACACACTTTTTGCACACTAATTTTCAGGAAAAAATCAATTGTAACTGGAAAAGACACTTACAACAATGGCGTTTGATAATTCTTGATGAGCGTCATCAAGCTTCACAGCCAATTTGGCAATTTTATGAGAAAGAATCTTCTGGCGGGTGGTCCAATCTGCATTTCTCCAAATAGTCTTTGGAATTTCACTCAAACCAAAGCCAAGAAGAAATGCACCCGTAACAAGTCCAAAAGTATTTGAGCAGCCCATGGCAAATCCCAGTACACCTTCACTCCTGTCAATGAAGACATTGAGCAAAAATAAATCCGAAAGCAATTGCAAGCAAGAAGAACAACCCCCACCCCCAAAAAAGAAAAGGAAAAAAAAAAATGATTGCTAGCTTGATAAGAATGGTATGCCAAAAATTTTAGACAACCATTTAAACTTATAAATCAAAAGGAAAGAATGGTATTCTTAGCACCGTCCATCTGATGATGTATATCCCGAATCCCCAATTTTGCCTGAACTGTTATACTTTGTATTCCAAAATATCTTGGTACCTAAGGAGTTACTACAAAACCTCAAGTCCTCTCGGCAACAGTTATCTCTCCCATAACTAAGTTCAATCAACTCATACTATATCAATCTCAAGGATAACAGAGGAGTGACTGAAAGACTTTAGACTGAGTCCCTCTTTTAGCCAAGATTTCAGACCTCTATATTGCAATCTTAATCCACCAATTTCTGCTTAACACCATGAGCCAAAAGAAGATTATACCAAACTCAGGACACAACTAGGACAACCTTCAATCAAAGTAATGATGCACCTATAGAATACTTTCCTTTTATGGCCTTCTAAGAGAGTTAAAACTTTTACTTCAAGGCATGACCAGTAGAAGCTGGTAAACATGGGAGTATCCAAGAACACCTCCAACTTCAAGATGACCCTTGTTTCCGATAGAACATAATTTGAATTTTCAACTCAAAAGAGACCTATGCCTCAAGGCAGCAAGCAATCGCTCAGGATCGAACTCCAAGGCGTCCAGCTAAATTCTTCCATATTGGAGAATTTGGAGGCCCAAAATGAAGTCGGGAACCATAAAACAAGAAAGGAAAAGCAAAGGAACGACGAAGGAAAAAGAAAAAGAAAAAATAGGCTCAACCAAAGGGAAAATCTGGCATGTGAAAAGTTGAATATTAGTCGCTCCTTCTTTAGCCAACAAATTGGCAACTTAATTTGCTGATATGTCCAGCAAAATTTAGTGTTCAAATCCATGGTAGACTCTAAACTGCAATATAACAAATTTCCCCTCAAAGCCTTCTTTAAGAAGCGCAATAAACCACCCTTTGTGATGAAATAACTCTTCCTAATCACCCTTTGCAACCAAATAACTCTTCCCATTCATAACATCAGAAGCCTAGAAAGAAACATACATGTCGACCTTTTCTCTTTAAAATGGACTAATTTATAGACCCATGAATGCCCCATACCCTCTAACAACATCACATGTAAGTAAGAATCCAAAAACATGGCCAGCAACCATGAACAATGACGTTGCAATGCTAGGATGAACTATTTTTATCTTAAAAGAGAAAAAGAATAAGCTTTTTAGAAAACGAGATAAGGATCCAATTGTTAATTAGATTAGAAGACTGGGTGTATGGGACCATGGTTAAGAATATAAATGAGATAAAGGACAGATGGTCTGTGTGTCAATCCATGCTTTGTTTGGATTTAGTGCCAATACTAGGGCAGTTGGAGGCATTTGGGCAACTTTTTCTAATATTAATTTTTGAAGCATTAAGAGAGAAACACAATAATGTTTGGGAATGTAGAGTCCTTGAGTGCAAAATAAGAATATCCTTTGTTAAAAAACCTCTGCTTTGGAGGCCAAAGAGCGGGGAATGCAACTCGGTCGGGTTGAGAGGTCAACCTGAACTCCTGAGGTATAAAATCCTTCATTTCAGCAAGTCTGAACCCAACCCAACCTCCAAAATGAAGAGCCTAACTTGAGCATATAAATCTGAGCTTGGATTAGGCTCAGGTTGAGTCAATTTGGGTTATAAAAAATCCTTTATTTATTTTCTATAAATTAAATAATAATAAAAAACTGAAATAATTTTTTAGGGGAAAAAATCGGGCCTAACATTTCAGTTTGAAATAATCACATATATTCCAGTTTGAAATAATCACATGTGTTTCAATAATCATCCAAACGACGGTCATAATATATATGCTATTATTGATGATGATATGGTGATGCTAGTATAGGTTGGGCTCAGGTTGCTTGACACCTCTAACCAAGTCCAACCCAAATTGAGGTCGGGTCAAAAAAAATCAATTTAAGCATAAAACCCCAATAACAAAATGAGTTGTCCAAGCCTGTAAAAAGACCGATTTGGGTTAGTAAAATCTGACAGAGTTGCAACCATTAGAAGGATACGAAAGCCCCTATGATTTTGGTCGTAGGTAGGAGTTATTCTTGTGATCTTTCTTCGAGCTGTTTATGGATGCACATCGCATGCACATGGGCTTTATCCCCATGTTCCCCTTAATATAATTTTTGGCATTACCCATATACAAAAATGGTAGACACAATAGGGAACAGTAGGGAGACGTATTATTTATTTTGATGCAAAGGACGAGCATAAATGTAGAGAAGAAATGTATTATAAGGTTTTTCTAAAAAAGTACTAAGAGTTGCTACAATTAAAAAAGGATGTTTTATACAATGAGGGTTTCAATTAGTAGACAACAAGGATCTAGTCATATTCATAACAATTTATAACTATAATGATATAGGAATTGAGAGACAAAAGAAAATCCTGTATCAGTGCCACTGATGGCTCAATTCATGTAACACAGAAAAAAATTAGAATGTATACATAGAGTTGACAAGCCCCATATTGCAATTCTGCCTTTATTAGTAAGAGAATATCCACTATCATCTCAAATACGATGCAACTCATGTAGACACAATTTTGTTATGTTTTTAAATATAAATTAAGCAAATGCAACGAATAAAATTTCTACATTGACCTGACATATCTTTCACCATGCTTCACAGCTGGAAATTAGCTTATAGAATTAATATGGGTACATAGGGAAGTGAGACACTATATACAGTTTGGTGAATAAGCAAGAGAAAATAAGACAAGAGGTGTTATAATCATACTGAGCATGAAACAGACAAAAATCCTGTATCTGCCTGGACATTAAACCAGAGATCATAAAAGAAGAAGAAAAAATAGATTTATAATAAAGAAAAAAAAGTTTTAGAAAGCAAGGAACGAACCTAATTTTGTGCATTAAAATCAGGAGAATAAATCCAAAAAGACCAATAGATCCCACAATCAAATAGAAGATTAAGTTTTCATGTATGCTGGTCTTCAATCTTTCTGCAACAGTGAAGTCTCCAGCATCTTCATAACCCTGAATAAGAGGCGCTACAGCCCTGCTCAGAGAAACAAAACAATCTAACTATATGAGGATGTGTGCTTCTTCAAATTGTGAAACCATTAAAAACTTCCAGAAACAGAAACAACCTATAAAAATCACATGCGGAAGGAATAGATAACAAGAAGCAATACTATATGTGCAGTTACACCACAATCAATACATATTGATGTGTTAATCTATTAATTAATCGTCAGGCTTCGTGTATGTTCACAACATATAAACTCAAAACAACATCCAAGGGAAAAAGTTACAACTAGTGCAAGGAAAGTAAAAGAGCATGGTTACAGTAATTTATATACTCAGAAATAACATATAGATCTTCAAAAGAAAATGTGAACGTGTATGGTGGTCAAGACATGCATAAAGGTACCTAGCCCAATCACCAATATCAATATTAAACAGGGTAAATAAACAAAAGGAAACAAAGCAGAGGTAATTGGTGGAGCGAGCGTGACCTCGAATGTTTAATGATAAATAATTGTCCTCGTAATATTTTAAGTACTTATGTTTAATGACTCAAACAGACACCATGTGATTAACGAATGCAAGCAAGTAGCTGGTCATTGTTCCGTAATATAAATTATAACAACAAACACTCCAAGACAATCACATGATAAAGAGCATTTTCAAGACAATCACAATGACAAGATATGAAAAATAGAACAGGAAAGGAAATATGATCTGATTCACAAGTTTACATGTGGCATACCAAGTAAGCAAAAATGTACCCCAATACGACCAGATCCAAAAGAAATAAATGCCTCCATTCTCGTGACCAATTATTGTCTGCACTACAAAGAGAAACATTATGGTAATGAAAATTAAAGATGCTTTAACCAACCACAATTATCACAAGAAAACTTCTTACACCAGAATAAATTAAAAATAAAAATAAAAACTTCAAATTCAGAATGACCTGAAACATTTGGCCATAAGATAAAATTATGTAAAAGATGAAGTTGAGGCATTTTATAAGAAATTATTCCTAATGACATGCTAGGGTAAAGTGGCCCAAGACTTGTTTGATTTACAATAAAGAATTCCACACTAAACCAATAGTGATTATAGTTGTAGTAAAGACGACAACAACTATGACTGCAAAGACAACAACTTAGACTACATACTCTTTGTTGTTAGGAGGGAGAGGAGAGAAGATATACATGCATAAATTGACCAACATTCACAGAACAGAAATAATAATTATGACAATTACATATATATATATATATATATATATAGAAAAAAAAAAAAAAAAAAAAAAAGGTAGCAATTGCAATTGTACCGTCCAAATGTCGGCAGGGACGAGAATGATGATGGAAATAGAACAAAACCAGGCGTATCCAACGGTGAAGAATACGTAGCGAGGTACGTCTGGACCAGCGAAGTACCTGAGCGTGAATACAACCATACCTAAGGTTAGGGGAAGAGAGATCAGATAAAACACCCACATCTCTCTCTAAATTCAATTTCTCTCTTTAAAATTCAATTTCTCTATCTAAATCTGTCCCTGTAATCTGAATGGTACGAGAGTATGAGAATAGAGTTAATAGACAATCGGGAGTGTCGGAGACCGGCGACGAAACGTGCCCTTTCTCGTTGCTGCAATTCGTTATTTCTTTCAGCTAATGTGCGCCGCCTTGGGTATTTTAGCACCAAGGTCTCTGCTTGGGTCCGGTTCCGAGATAACTAAGACCACACCATTTCGATACGGAGTAAAACCGAACCAACTCTTTTTCTTTTTATTTCTTTTTTTTTTCTTTTTTTTTAGCTAAAGAAATCGCGTGACACCTACTTTAAACTCTGACTTGAGCCAAAATGAGGAGAAATAATAATGTTTAATAATACATGTTTATTACCGATGTACATAATTTTTATTATTATTTTATATATTTTTTTATTTTTTTCATTAGTATCCCTTAAAGATGGATGCAATTCAATTATTTAATAAATATTAAAAATGCTCGATACATGATAATAAATATAATCTTCAATTTGAAATCACAAATTCTAATAATACCAAATATATAAGTACAAAATAAAATATATTAGAACATAAAAACTATATAAGTGCATGCATTTGCATCATCTATACATTTATTATATAATATATAATATATTTAACATATTCTATATTATAATAAATAAAAATGTTAAATAATAAATCTATAATAGATATGGTATGTAATAATAAATTATATCTGTTGCATAATAATTTAATAACATTATATTAAATAAATAATAAATAAATCATAAAATTTTTGTTCCAAGAAATAATTTACACTATTTATGATATATTATATTTTTAAAAATATATTTTTGTTAAATAAAAAATAATTTACACTAATATTTAATATTTTAGTCATATATTAAAAATATAGTTTTTTTTAGTATTTAAAATGTGTCATTAGTATATAATATGAATAACACGTTTTTATTTGAAATGAACAGTATATATGTAATAATAATAGTGGAACCATTTTTCCTCAACCGTGTCGAAAACATGAGAAACATCTTTTTTATGTTTCTTTCTTTCTTAGAAAAATAAAATAAAAAATATATATATTTTCTATTATAAAAAAACAAAAACATATTATTAAACATGATTTTTGTTTTTGTTTTGAAATTTTAGACTCTGACAACAGTAAACATAAAATGATACCCGTTACTAAAAACAGCCTAAGATAATAACTACGCTATAAATAAAAAGTCAAAAATTAAAATTATTATTATACATACTTGTATAGTACATGGTGATGCACTTGACAACCTCCAATTATTTTACGATAAATATTTTATGCATGATGACAACCCAACCCGGTAGTTATCATGATTTTATTAGATAATATTAAAGAATAAATAATAATAAAATAAATATTAATAATCTACTTTGTGGTAGGCTTTCATATTGCTCACCAAAATAAAATACATTATATAAATTAAACTTTAATGTTACATTTAGTGTGTAAGAATGAAATAAAATACAAGTAAAGATACAATGTATCATTATATTATTTGGTTGCAAATATGAAATGTATATAAATGGAATGATAATAACTACTCTAGTGTTTAGTTTGACCAATTTAAAATTTATAATGGAATGAATTAAATTGAATTATTTAAATTTTTTTTTTTTTGTGACAAATAAATTAAATTATCAAAATAACATTGTTCTATAATTTTTTAAATATAAACGGTGGTGATGTTGAATGGTGGTAAAGATGGTGGTGGAGGTGGAAAATGGTAATGGTGTAGGTGGTGGTGTTGGAAGGCTGTTATGGTGGCAACGGTGGAAGATGCCGGTGGTGGTAGTGGTGGTGGTAGACAAGAGTGGTGTGGGTGGACGACGATGGTAGTGGCAGTGGCAGCGGTGGTAATGGTGGAAGGCGTTAATGGGGGGTAGGTGATGATGATGGATGGTGGTGGCGGTGGCGGAAATGACGATGGTCGTGGTGGTAGAAAGTAGTGGTAAAAGACAGCGACGATGGAAGACAATGGAGGCGGCGGTAGTGTGGTGTGGTGGTCGAAGGTGACAGCTGTGGAATGCGGTGGTGGTGACGGTGTTAGCATTGGTGGTGGTAATGGTGACAATGGTCGCGGCAATGACGGCAGAGAAAGGCAATAGATGTCGTGGTGGTTGAAGATAGCGGAAGTTGGTAGTGGTGGTGGAAGACAATGGAAGCGGCATGGTATGGTGGTTGAAGACAACAACAATGGTGGCGGTGGCAGGGATGGAAATGAAAGGCCATGGAGACGCCGATAGAGAAAGCGGCAGTGGTTGTGGCGGTGCAAGACAGTGGCGGTGGTGGTTTTTGAACTTAGTACATGAGAATTTTTTGGAAACTTGATTTTTTAAACATTTATTTAGTAATGCCGCTGTTTCTATAACTAAATTCGATTTTTTCAAATATTTTAAATAATAATCTAAACTAATTACACAAGATAATTAGAAGGACAACAGTGGTGTGGGTGGAAGGCGGCAACGACGGTGGTAGTGATGGAAGTCGTCAATGGGGGGTAGGTGATAATGGTATAAGGTAGTGACGGTGGCATTTGTGTGGTGGTGGTGGAATGTAGTGGTGGTGTATGTGGTGGTAGTGGTGGAAGGTAATGGAGGTAACATTGGTCGTGGCAGTGGAAAGAAGTGGAATACGATGGCGATGGAAGACAATAGAGTCGGCGACGGTGCGGTGGTGGTGGTGGTGGAAGGTGACAGTGGTGGAATGCGTTAGTGGTGACGGCGTTGGCAGGGGTGGCGGTAATGGTGGCGGCAATGAAGGTGGACGAATGCAATGGATGTGTGTGGTGGCAACGGTGGAAGTTGGTGGTGGTGGCGGCAATGGTGGCGATAGCAGTGATAGAAGACAGTGTAGGTGACATGGCGTGGTGGTTGAAGGCAGCAATAACGATGGCATTGGCGGTGGTAGTAGTGGAAGGTGGCGGAAGGCAATGATGACAACGGTGATGGTAAAAGGCAATGACGATATTGATCTTTTGACTTATAAAATGAAGGTCTTTTAGAAACTTGATTTTTTTTTTATTTATTTTTTTATAAATTTATTTAGTAATGGAATGACCATCCAGTCTCTGTAACTAAATTCGATTTTTTTCAAATATTTTAAACAATAAACTAAACTAATTACATAGGATAATTAGAAGGAAGTGCCTAAAAAATTTTATTTTATTTTTAAATGAGCCTTCACAATTGTAAACACAACAAATGATATTTATTTTTATTTTTCATTAGCAATAATAAAAGGGATACTTTATAATTAACTGAGATAATATATTACATGTGTATATTTGAATTTTAGAAAAAAATAGATATATTTGAAAAAAAGTAAAAAGAATATATAAAACGAGAATGAGGGAGCAGGTGTCCATTTATGACATCAGATATATTTGAAATAAAGGAAAATTAAAAAAGAAAACAAGAATGCGTGTGAAGTGAGGCGAAAGCAGGTATTGTGTCAATTTATGACATCATCGATCGATACATTTGAAAAAAAAAAAAAGATAATAAAAAAGAAAACGAGAAAGCGTGAGAAGAAAGCAGTTGTCCATTTTTGGCTCCAACATAAATACTCCAATATCAAGACGCTCCGACGAACCAACCTATATACACACGGAATAAAGTTAGCGTTTCTCGTTCTTGTTGTTGAGGTCGAGGCTGCGATTCAAACAAGGGGTTGAGGGTTAGGGTTTTCTCTTCCAGTATTAGGGCTCGATCAGACTAATTTCTCGAGGGTACGATTCGGGTCTCGAGTCTCCGATTCAATCAAGGGCTTGAGGGTTAGGGTTTAATCGTCCACTATGCGTTCTTGAAGGCTCTATCAGACTTGGTTTTTGAGGCTGCGATTCAAACAAAAGTCACGAGGGTTAGGTTTAGTTTCAGAGGGTGGTTTTGAGTGTTCAATTCAAACTAGGGTCTCGAGGGTTAGTGTTAGATTCTGGTCTCGAGGTTTCGACTGAAACAAGGGCCTTGAGGGTTGGGGCTCCATCCAGATGATAGTATTGTGGGGCTCTATCCAGTGATGGTCTTGTGGGGTTCCATCTATACGACGATCTTGAGGATTCTGCAGACATTTTTTGGGTAAAAATTCTTTAAGTATATTGAACATATTTCTTTACCATTTATTAATCTAGTTCATTCTCAATTTCAGTGATTAATAGTTGTTTAAAGTGATAGGTTTTGATTGGCAGTTTTCCATAAGTCTACTCTAATTTTTTATATAAATTTTCACTGAATTGTTTTTAATAAATAATTAAACGTACCTTGATAAAGCTTTTACTTTTTGTATTAAGGACTATATATGGAAGGATATAAATTGGTTGATTATTAAGATATATTACATCAATATGTTTTATTAAAAAATATAATTACTTTACATGTATATTTGAGTATATGCAGTATTTATGTTAATCATATGTTCTTCTCCTATATGTACTGAATTTGTATTTTACCTCTAATTTAATGGCCTAATGTTAAATTTTTGTATAATTTTGTCTTATATTTGGGTAATTTACCCCACCTTTCCCTAAGCATAGCATGCTTACACCGGCTTCTCCCGACTTGACAATTTGCATACGGTTGACAATTTACATATGGGAATGTTGTTAGTGGCCAGTGTAGTACTTGAATCAATGAGGGAGGTCAATATAATTATGTTATTCGAAGGATTTATTTTTGATATTGTTTTTTCACATTTTATGTATTGTTGCATTGTTTAATACTCTACATGTATATTTGAGTATATGCATTATTTATGTTAATCATATGTTTTTTTTCCTATATTGTACTGAATTTGTATTTTTCCTCTAGTTTAATGGTCTAATGTTAAATTTTTGTATAATTTTGTCTTATATTTGGGTAATTTACTACCCCACCTTTCCTGAAGCATAGCATACTTACACTGGCTTCTCCCGACTTGACAGTTTCCACACGGTTGACAATTTACAGATGGGAATGTTGTTAGTGGCCAGTGTAGTACTTGAATCAACGAGGGAGGTCAATGTAATTATGTTATTCGAAGGATTTATTTTTGATATTGTCTTTTCACATTTTATGTATTGTTGCATTGTTTAATACTTTACATGTATATTTGAGTATATGCAGTATTTATGTTAATCATATGTTCTTTTCCTACATTAGTGTACCAAATTTGTATTTTACCTCTAGTTTAATGGTCTAATGTTAAATTTTTGTATAATTTTGTCTAATATTTGAGTAATTTACCCCACCTTTCCTAAAGCATAGCATGCTTACACCTGCTTTTCCCGACTTGACAATTTCCACACGGTTGACAATTTACAGATGGGAATGTTGTTAGTGGCCAGTGTAGTAATTGAATCAACGAGGGAGTTCAATGTAATTATGTTATTTGATGGATTTATTTTTTATATAGTGTTTTTTCACATTTTATGTATTTTTGCATTGTATAAACTAATTTCTCTTCATGTTAAAGACTGCTCTAATATAAAGATTCGGAAGCTCGAAGATGGAAAGAGTGCTCATATCTAATGATTGAGAGCTGGTGGTTCGAATCCGCCCGAATCTATTTGATAATAGAAATAATGATTGATTTTTTTTTTTTTTAAAAAGAGAATATGATGGCTAGTTTATTATTTTTCGTTGCTAGTCTTTTTGAGTATTGCTGGTGAAATGGCATCGGCAGTCTGTGGGTATTAGAAGCTGGGACCTCTGTTTAAATGAGGTAAATGTCCCATATAATATATACATGTAGGCACCTAGCTAAAAAAATAATTTCAGACAGAATAAGAGACAATTGTATGCTCCTTCCAATTAGTGGCATCAATTTGCTACAAAGTATTGTGGCAACAAACTCATATTTAATCTATTGCTTTTTTGGTTGCTTTCAAATTTTAAACTTAAATGATTTGTGATGTTTTTTAATGGTTGGCTATAAGGAATGCGTTGGAGCCACGGAGGCTGAATCCTTTTCAAAGAGGTGGTTTCATTATCAGTAAGCTTAAAAGAGTAGATGCGGTATCCACAGTACATACACAATTCTTTGCACCTAAACATATTTTGTCTCCTTTATAGGGTGAAAAGGGACATTCTTATCTTATTTTCTCTTACATTGGATCATTGATGTTGGGATCTTTGTATAAATCATGGGTCTGCACTCTGCAGAGCTCAGGGTGAGTTTCCGTGGTGTTGAATGCCTTTAACATAGACTTTATGTGATTGTGATCATTTGAACAAAGTAGGATATTAATTACTTCTTTTGTAAATGATCTTTTGAACAAAGTAGGATCTTAATTATTTCTTTGGTGCAACAACTGTTCTCTGGGGATCAATGTTGTGATATCTTTTCTAGTCATACTCATAAATGAAATGGAGAGACTTCATTAATTTCCATTTGGGTCTGTAGAACTTCAAAGAGTACTTTCTAGACCGACATATTTGATATTTCTAATGCATTTTCTTTCAGTGCTGATAGTTTTCAGTAATGCATTTGTTTAAACGTAATGATCATTTCAGTTTGGTGCCTTCTAATTCAGTGTATCCAAGTGTATCTGCTGGTTCATTGGTGTCGGGATCTTTGTATAAATCATGGGTCTGCACTTTGCAGGGCTCAGGATGAGTCCGTGGTGTTGAATGCCTTTAACATAGACTTTATATGATTGTGATCATTTGAACAAAAGTAGGATCTTAATTACTTCTTTTGTAAATGATCTTTTGAACAAAGTAGGATCATAATTATTTCTTTGGTGCAACAACTGTTCTCTGGAGATCAATATTGTGATATCTTTTCAAGTCATACTCATAAATGAAATGGAGAACTTCATTAATTTCCATTTGGGCTCTGTAGAACTTCAAAGAGTACTTTCTGGACTGACATATTTGATATTTCTAATGCATTTTCTTTCAGTGCTGATAGTTTTCAGTAATGCATTTGTTTACATGTAATGATCATTTCAGTTTGGTGCCTTCTAATTCAGTGTATCCAAGTGTATCTGCTGGACAGGGATGACATTTTCTTGTTTTTCGATGTACACAGCAGTCTCCTTTGAAAGATGCTTGGTGTTGTATCGGATTTTGGAAGTCTTCAAATCTTTTACTTGTGTTGGGTGAGAGTTTTGCTGTCTGTTGTTTTCACCTACTGCTTCCTGATTTCAATGCCTTTGGAGTACAGTTAGCATGCTGTCAATTACAATGTTTATGAGATAGCAAGGATGGAATGGAAGCAAATGTTTGCGCTTGTTCTTTGGTGTCTCCCTGGCATCGGTGTTCAAGGTAACAACAATTCACATGCTTTCTATGTGGTATTAAATTTAATATATATATATATATTTTCCTGTAGTTAATCCTGTAAAGAGTTTAACTAATTTCAAATGCTTTTTGAGAGGGTGCGAGAACTACTGCAATTTGCATCTGTTTTTACCCACAACATGGGAAGAGCAAGAGGAAGAGGAAAATTTTGATTATGCTAATTTATATGATGATATATTTTTTAATATTATTGATTTATTCTTTTATTTATTTTTATACATATGCATTTTTGTTGGCCTGTGTCACCTGACGTGTTTACTGGATGAGAAGCCGACACAGATCTGTTTCAAGCATTTCTATCTTCGAGTATTCGAGCCCACACCAAACAGTATCAATAGCATTGTGCATGGTGGGTGGTCCACAAGTTATCACACGGTGGGTGGTAAATTTGTGCGCGATGGTTGGGGCTCAATCCAGATGATGGTCTTGTGGGGCTTGATCCAGCGATCTAGATGATAGTCTTGAGGGTTCTGCGCACTTTTTTTGGGTTAAAATTCATAAATCAACTATATTTAACTGATTTATTTACCATCTATTAGTCTTGCCTCATTTTCAGTTTCAGTGATTAATAGTTGTTTAAGGGGGTAGGTTATGTTTTTTATATAATTTTTCACTGACTTAATTTTAAAAGATGATTGGAAGTGTTTTGATAAAGCTTTACTTTTTGTATTAAGGACTATATATGGAAGGATAGAAATTGATTGATTATGAAGATATTTTACATCAATATGTTATATTAAAATTTTTAATAACTTTACATGTATATATATGAGTATATTCAGTATTTATGTTAATCGTATGTTCTTTTGTTATATTATTGTGCTGAATTTGTATTTTACCCTAGTTTAATGGTCTAATGTTAATTTTTTGTACAATTTTGACTTCTATTTGGGTAATTACCCCACCTTTCCTGAAGCATAACATACTTGCACCGGCTTCTCCCATTGATTTAAAAATTACTTGGTTCTCCCCTATGTTTGTTAAGTTGCACTTGACAATTTTCAAACGGTTGACAATTTCCAGACGGTAATGTTATTAGTGGCAAGTGTAGTGTTTTGAATCAACGAGGGAGCTCAATGTAATTATGTTATTCCTGAAAGAAGCCAATTTAATTTGCTTTTTATATTTTTATTTCACATTTTATGTATTGTTGCATTGTTTAAACAAATTTCTTTTCATGTTAAAGACTGCTCTAATATAAAGATTCGGAGTGGTGAGAGTGCTCGTACCTAATGATTTGAGAGGCTGGTGGTCCATATCTGCCCCAATCTCTTTGATAGTAGAAATAATGAGTGAAATTGCCTTCTTTCTTTAAAAGCCAATGTGGTGGCTACTTTATTCTTTTTCCTTGCCGGTGTCTTTTTGAATACTGCTGGAGAAATGGCATTGGCAATCTGTGGATATGAGAAGTTGAGATGTCTGTTTAAATGAGGTAAGTGTCCCATATAATATATACATATAACTTTATCTTCCTTCATACGAGGCATGCTCTGCTGTAGACACCTAGCTAAAAAATAATATCAGACAACAAGGTACAACTGTATGCTCCTTCCAAATAGTGGCATCAATTTGCTACAAATATGTGGCAACAAATTCATATTTAATCTAATACTTTTTCAGTTGCTTCTGATGTTTAAACCTAAATGATTCGTGATATTCTTTAACGGTTGGCTATAAGGAATGTGTTGGAGACACGGAGGCTGAATCCTTTTTGAAGAGGTAATGGTTTCATTATGAGTAAGCTAAAAAGAGTAGATGCCGGATGCCTGTGTTGAGACTAAGTAATCTATTTAACTAGCCACAATACATGTACAATCCTTTGTGCAGCTACTTGAAATAGGGTAAGAAAAAGCTTCTCGTATAAGTGGAAATTTCTTGATGGTATCTGTTGCACCTCCACCTAGGAAGGTTATAGTGCAACAATGCATCCGTGACTTGGGGTTCTGGGAAGTTTTATGAAACTATGTAGTAAGTCTTTGTTCTGAGTAGTCCATTAATTAACGTTTTTCTGTAAATGTTTGCACTTGAGTGCTTTCTCTAGGCCTCAGCTGCAAAAAAGTTTCAGCCTTCGAGGCCTGTGATCAACTTCTGTATAGCAGTTGCTGTTGAGGCTTTGGTTGTCCTCTTACGACTGTTAACATTGATGTTATGGAAAGAATACTTCCATGTGTTGCTTCTATACTACATCTTGGTGCCATGGGAGGTTTGGATCACAAGGTGAGCTTTTTAAACTTAACATACAATAGCGAGTTTGGTTGCTCCTATTTGTATTTTGTCTTTGTTTTTCTTCCTTTGATATTTTCACTGCCCCCTTTGAGGTTTATGATTTGGTAACGTGTTCCTCCTTCCATTAACAGTCAACTCTGGTCAATATAATTTTTGTTTATATTAGCAAATGGAAATTTGAAAACACCAACTTTGCCAAGTTGCCATTAGAACGAGTGTAAAGACAATAGAGGTTTATGAAGTTAAACAGTAAACTTACAATTTCCTTTAACGCCAGTTAACGACAAGTTTTAACAGAGTTGATGTAATTTTAGAAAGTAGGGAGGTCATTGTATTTTTTTGCTCAACTACAAGGGTGGTCACTGTAATTTTCCCTGGTAACTTCTGTCTTCATAATTTGTCAACTTCACAATAAATGTAACATAGGCTGTTACTTGAATATACTAGTAGGCTAAATATATTCCTCAGGCACATCCTTTAGTGGCAGTCTTTTGGAATTTTTTTTCTTTGAATAATCAATTCTCGGTTTTTTGGGTGGGGGAAGGGAGCGATGAGTGTGTTGTTTTTAGGATTCTTCAGTAAGTAAATCAGTCCCATCTGAAAAGAGGAGAGAGGGCTTAGCAGATAATTGGACACACTTTCAACATTCTAAACTTGGGAGCACAGTATCATGGGATGTGCTCTCCTTTTGAATCTCCAACCGTGGCTGGGGAAATTTGTCTAATGTTTGATCTCTGAATTCATGTCGTTATGCACCATCCCTCTGAGAAAGTACTCGTGAATTCTTCCGCAGAGCACAAAATATCATCAGAGTGAAACAAGTTTTACCGTATGAAAAACTACTATAAGGTGACCAGCTAAATTTGCCAAGTGGTTTGTTGTATTGTATTCTAGAAATGAATGATCCAATGTCCAAATTTTATTGCATTGCACCAATGTCCACCACCTCAGCAAAAATCTTTAGTAGTGACTCTGTAATTACTTGAAGAAAATGTCTTACTGAAAACACGTGTGGCCTGTGGGGCCACATTGAGGGTTTATTTGAATTCTAAATCATTATATTTTATTTTGCAAGGGACGTAGAGTTCTTAGCCCATGTATAGCGCTGTAATATTGAGTGATAAAATTGATACTTGAACAATTATGCGTTCTTGTCAATTAGAGTGCGAAATTTGATCCTATCGGAAGAGTAGACATGAAGCAAAATTTTAGGGAGCATTTAACAACACTACGAAAAAGAGGGGATGGTTCATTCTTGGTGGTAACTGCAAAATTTGAGATCTAGCTATTGCAGAATCCATTTCCAACAATACAATTTTGTGGAACTAATATAAGTCTGTGAACAGCAGAACCTAGCTAGAATTTGAGGTACAATTACTTTGAATTGGAGGTAGATAACTCTTTTTGATCAGGATTGTCAAATGAAAGAAAAGAGGTGTATTATACTGTGTTGTTTAATTGATTGTTGATTGGAATCTTTATGTGTGTGTATAGGTTGGTGTTTTGATGATTGTTGGTTTATTAGTGAATAAGGTGTCATCCTCTAAACTTATCAAAAGCTTGATCCAGCTGAGGTAGCTCGAGACCGATGCGAAAGAACCAACTGACTTGCAATGTTTTCATGTGGTATTTATGGCCTTGGTTAACCTTGTTCAGGTATTGCCATGAGCTTTAAGAAGCAATTTTATATATTTATTTTAATAATCTCTCTCTCTATATATGTATGTATGTGTATATATATAGATATATATATGATATTTACCCTTAGGCATCGGATAATGTTTCTCAAGTTTCTTCTTTTGCTTTTGATGGTGTTGTGTAAACCATGCCTTTTACCACCTTCCAACGCGGTAATAATTTTCTGTTATTTGGTGTTCTCATACACCCTTCATAAAATCATTCACTTGATTTTAGGGTTTGTTGTAAATTAGAATCCAGGTCTGTATCTTAATGTCAGGAGAACTTAAGAAGTCATGGTCACACACACACATATATTAAATGATTCTGGAATCTATGTTGCAATATATGGCTATATGCATATAAATTAGGAACAATGAAGACATGAAAAATTATGTGCACCATGTTGCATGAGATTGGAGAGACTGTCTTCAGGAATTGCTGTTTGTCTGAGAAATGTTGTAGGATAAAACTATGAATCATTGTGTTTTGTTGTGTCTCATATTCAAAAAAATCAATATATTATCTTCTCTCTATTTGGAAGGAGGTTGGTGATCGAGTTTGTTTGTAGCAAGTTAGTGTCTTAGCCTGCTTATGTTAATTATTCTCTGCCTTGGAGGTTGAAATTTAACTTGCACCTTTGACTTATCTAATCATCCTTGTGAATTATGTATTGGCCTTTTGATACAATCTCAACTTGCCTGCTTAAATGAGTGGTTGAAATGTTATGTTCTATGTTAGTTACCAAATTCATGACATTGTTGAGATGAGCTTAATTGAGGTGGGCTTGGACTGCCATGAAAAAATTGCTTGTATGAAGAAAAGCTGGATTTCTAGTGTGGGGTTTGTTGAGAGAGATGTCTAAGAATAAGCATTTTGAGGCATGTATTGTTGCAATCTTACATCTGCCACAATATATTTATCAGATGTTACAGATGGTTACCCAGGCAATTCATTTTATGTTGGGAAGTTGCCCTAAAGCATCTATTCTATGGTGCATCGGTCCTATGGTTGTTTTCATGATGAAATAGTTGATGGATGTGGATATAAGCTCGTGTTCTTTATACTAACCATTTCAAACAATTTACTTGGGTTGTTCATACTAGTATAGATACCTTTTGCAAAAGACATTTTTCTTTTGTTGATTCATTAGAGTATCTTTTAGTGATGTTTTCTTGTATAATTACTGCCATTGCCTTTGCCGCCTTGTCTTTTGAATTGATTCACTTTTTTCCCCATGTTTTACCTTTTACACTTACTTGAACTATTACTCAACAGAAAATAAGAGCTTTGGTTTCAGCTAATCGGGATAGAGATAGGCAAAAGAGAAATTTTTGTTGTTACGTAGGTACATGTAAGCATCAGTATTACCATTCTAGTCTTACTGTCCATCTCTCTCTCTTGGTAATTGTGCATTTATCTTACAGACATGTAATTATATGAAAGATGCATGTTCCTACATTTGTGTGTATATATATGTACTTGTAATTATTTTGGCTCTTCTAATGTTTAGTTGTGCGATTATAGGATCCACATGTACAATAGAGAGGAACTAATTCTATGCGCTTTGCCTTAACATGACACCCATGTATTTGTTCGAATTGTGCAGATATTTGACAGTGTAAGAAAAGTGTTATCGTGTAAGTTATTTGCATCAGTTCATTGATTTATTGAGGTTTTGTGTAGTCTGACTCATTACTCTATTTTTTTTTTTTTTTTTCCCTACTGTATGCATGTGTGTTTGTGCGCGCTTGTGCACATAAATAATAAGTGGAAATTCCTTGATGTTGTTAAAAGTATCTGGCGTACCACTACCTAGGATGGTTATAGTGCAACAATACATCT